TGGGGAATTTTCGGGTCATTAACAGAGACATATTTAAAGAATTAAACTTTAAACCATGGCAATATCAGGCAGACATTAAAACCACGTTCTCATTATTGAGGCACCACTCAGCTAATCCATTCATATTAAACTATCAAAATAAGAAGGGTGAAAACAAGTTCAAGATAAAAAATAATGCATATCATATCCTAGTGTTTGTTTTTCTGGAATTTCCCCCCCCCCATGCAATCTGTTCAAGATACAGTATCTACACAAGGATAACTGCCTAAAACAAAAACAGGAATTCTTTTTGGGCCAAGAATGAATGCATGACCTTGGCCGAGTGTGGCTTAACACAAAGAAGAGCGACTCTGAAAGCAGTACAGCTCACAAGAGAGCCACATGTGACATTGTCTATTTTCCAGTGATTTTTTACTTTAACAATTCTCACATTTTGGATGATAGTCAAACATTCTTTTAAATAAAACGTACAGATATCTTTGCAGGGGTTTTTAGGAAGGGATGGCCTTTTTATGGAATGTTATTAATGCTAACTTCGGATGAAAATTAACTGCATTATCAGTATTTAAACAAAAAATGTAAACTTAATATGTTGATATATTAGTGGATAACCTATAAGTGTATAACCAAGACCCTTGATTTCTTGTGTTTACTTTAGGCGGATCCTTAATAGATAGGACACATAACTTTTGTTTAATTAAGTCATGCATGGGAGAGAGATTGGGTGAAATAGTTGGAATGGGAGATAACAAGATACACTTTGAAGGAGATAAACAGAGAGGGAGTAGAGAATGTGAATCTCCCAGGTTATGCCTTTTTAAAACTCTTAACATCACTTAATTTGTGAGATTCCTGACTTAAAAAGGTATTTATATTAAAGTGCATTAAAACAGTATCTGGACATGTTGATCCCTGAGTATGTAATACATGACTGTGTTTCCATAAAACGCCTGACCTAAATTCTTGCAACTCTAAAAGGGAGTTTTGTTCATATCAATTGAGAGAAAAACGTCAATTATTTTTACAGGATTTTGTCTAGTAAGATAACTTTATAAATCCAAAAGAAATGTGCAAGCACTAAATAAGTAGGTGTAGTCAAGACAGCGTGTAGCCCAGTAAATATATAGAATAAATAAGAAGTGTATGCAGTCAATACATTTTTCCCCTGTAGGATCTATAAGTATCCCATTAGGACTTGTCCTGCTTCCTGCTTCACAGAGCAAAAGCCACACTATTGAGCAGATACTTCATCTATGATTCAGGATGACAATAATACATTATTTATATTTTCCACAGTTAAGTCTGGCTCTACTTTTACTCAGAGTTTCAATCAGACAGATAACACGATCAAATGTTACAAGTCGGTTTAAAGATGTGGATATTCTGTTGAGCAGCAAATATCAAGTTACTTACAATAAGAGTACACATGTTAATGGTATAGTTCACCAGCATTTCTCTGTATGCTCAATGAGATGAATCCATAATTCAATTGGGGATTAATGACTTTGTTGATACAGGGGTCAGAGGTGACTGTGGGTGAAGATATGATCAAGGTGTTTACGATCTGAGTTATCTGCAATATAGCTTTTGCTCAGGTGTTATCTTCCAGTGTTATCACTTTATGGTATACCATGAAAGCCTTAAGGAAACAAAAAATACACAAAGGTGTTTTAATTCTCCTAATGATCTCATTTGTTTCCATTCCCCATTCATCTATTGAACCTTCCATCTTTTGGTGCAAACCACAATTTGAATTGGTGTTCTGATGTGTAAATGTAATTGTTCATAATTGAAGCATTGGTGTGAATGGGGTGTGACAAAGGAAGAGCTGGAAATCAATCAATTGTAAATGATTGAGTCAGGTTTCACATCCAGATGGATCAAACTGGTTTGTGTGTGGTTTTAGCAAATGCATTACAACCCGAGGACATGTAAGAAAACAGTCCTTTCCCCTTCAGATACCCGGTTCTTTACAAGTAGACAGACAAATAACAGTGCGCTTCGCACTACGGTACGAGAATGGAACATTTCAGCTCCTTGCATTGTTGTTCTGTGGCCATTGATCCTTCCCTCGTGTAAGTGCGATGTAAATGAATGATCTGTGAGCCAAAGGCCAGGAAATGGAGCCAAGTTACCAGGAGTCCCACAGAGCTTTGAAAAAAAAAGGAACAACTTTAATAGGCTTGTGTATTACCCCCTAATCCCACCAGGAGCGTCTGCGCTGCGCTGCGGCGCGGCGTTTTTTAGCGATCGCGGCCACTCTAGTCAATGGGTGCTATTCCACCAGACCCGCTGCACCTCGCTGCGCCGCGACTCGAAGCAAGGAATTTCTAAAAGATAGGATGAATCCTATTTTTGACGCGGCGCAGCGCAGCGGGTCTGGTGGAATACTGCGAGGCTGCACACACGACGCTCCGCTTCCGCAACGTTTTGAAACGCGCCTGGTGGGTTATGACGCAGGAGGAGGTCGCGGCGCAGCTGCAGCCGCAGCAAAGACGCAGCGCAGACACTTCCGGTGGGATCAGGGGGTTATGTTTGTGTGTGTGTTGGTGTTTTCTTGTGTTTATTATCCTGGCTCCTGCTGATCTCCTGACCCCAGATGGAGAGCAGTGGGTGAGCAGATTGTATTTCAATCAGGAGAGACTTAGTTGAAGTTGATAACATTGTATTGCCGTGTGCGCAATAGTGTTTTTGGAGATTAGACCCCATCATACTGTGATTAATTAGGGGGGAGGGGAAGCCGACTAAAAAGAGAAACCCCCCCGGGGTCTAGACACTGGTGGTGGTGAATAGTATACTAATACCTCATTCACACCAACGCAACTCCGGTTCAAGCTCCGTGCTAGAGCTTTTCAGGTTCAGAACCGGTTCTTCGGTTTAGTGGAGGCTCTTTTCACACCGCCCAGAGTCCGACTGGTGCTGCGTCATTGCGTCATCGTTTGCGTCATGACGTAACCGTTTGCGTGCCTGCTTCATAAAGCCAAACCGCACGGAAACCCCTCACAGCTGATACCGACAACAACAACAATGGCCGATTTTGCTCCAGCTTCCTCTGTACCTCTTCGGAAGACCAGATTCCCAGTAGGTAGCTGGTCTCTTCAGTGGACCACTGCTGTTTGTTAAGTTTCTCCATCGTTGTGTACAAGCTGGATAAAACGCGGGCTTCTTGTTGTTGTTCAGGAGTTGATCCCGCCCCTGCCCCCGACTCGACGTAAGCGTGACGTATGTGGTGCTTTTGCTCTGGCCGGACAATTTTTTGGTGCTTGAAACGAACCGGATTCCGGAGCTAAGAGGCTGCTCCGCTGCGGTGTGAAGAGGAAAACCCGGTGCTTTTCAAGCTCCAGCTCCGAACCGGCCCCGAAACACTGTTGGTGTGAATGAGGTATAAGGGAAAATAAAATCCGGATTGATGAGGGTTCTTCTGGGCTGTCCTGCCTTGGATCTGAACAGCTGGAGGTGGAGGAGGGTTGCATCAATTCTCCTGAACGATGCTGACGGGGGAGAGAAGAGCGGATTTAAACGTTTTGCCTGGTGTGCTGATTGGCTGTGAGAAATGAGACGCAGCCGATTGGTTAGCTGGGGTGAGTTGCGCCTTTTGCTAATTGAGAAAGGGGGCGAGTGAGTGAGGGAGAATTGTGAATGAGAGCGTGGGAACCAGTCTTCCTGAAAGAATTTACGCTGAGCTTCATTTCCTGCTTGATTAAATATTAATAGATCGGTGTGCTTCTCTGCCACACTCTTTGCAGGGCAAAAATGAAAGACGGTACACCCCTCACCCCCACCCCCCCCATCCTACCTTGGCTCTCTGCCCAACAACTGCTAATGTAGAATATGAGGCCTTGTGTCAGGGCACACATAAGGTGTAAGATCCGGGAGGAAAACTGAATTAGCAGAGTAACCTGAGCAGGTGGGAAGGAAGGGACTATGAATTTGCAGCCGTACAACAATCAGCCACATGATAGGTCCCCGATGGGATTGAGGATTACACACAAGGCCTGCAGGCTCCATGTTTTTTACGAGCAGAACAGATATTATTTACATATAGTACTATTCTTAGAAGCTTAACAAACATAGCCTCTTGTTTTCGGTGTGAACAGTTTTGAATGAAATTGACAGCTTTGAGTGAGGATTGCTTTCAACTTCAGAAAAGTGGCCTGAACTTGCCTGTACATGTGACACAGGAACCTGTTCTGAACATCTGAATTATACACTTACAGAATGTCCCTATACAATAATAAGTGATGGCATAATGTGGTTTAACTTTTTTTGGCAAGATTTTTATAAAATAATAACAGAACATTTGAGGTATATTTGTATTATATCCCAAAAGAATATTGGTTAAAGATTCTCAAACAGTTTTCTCAGTTGAAATAATGTTTTAAACATCTATCATCTGGCATTAAAAGAGCTATATTTGAATAAAATAATCTTCATTAATCCCCATAGATTCAGGTGTTTGAGCAGCACAAAGACAGAAGGCAAATATTTTTGCTATAGTTAACCCTGACAGCGTTGAGTGATCCCTGTTACTTGTTACTTATGAATTAAAGTGTTAATTGTTTTCTGTATGGCTGTGTGTATATCCGAATGAGTGAGATCAAAGGGGCTTTTGTAGACTTAGGTGTAAGTAATGATTGTGTGTAGTCCTCTGAGGGATAATTAGAGTTTAACATGTCAGGAATCCAAACTAGTGCACAGTCACCAATGACAGTCACTGGTTGACGGTGTTTTCTATATTAAGACTGTCAATGCTTTTAAAAGGTCTGTTCGATATTGATTTACAGTATTTAACACGACAAACAACCTGTGATAGTTGTACTGTCAATTTAAAAAAAAGTGCTGAAGGAGCACATCTAATTTACAGTGAGGGGCAGGCAGTTCAATCATCTATACAACATTACATCTCTTTTATTGCTTCTGAGCAAGGAATGTTACATTTGGATGGTGGGTGGGGGGCGGGTGGTTTTTACTGTCTGCTATAAATGCAAAAGAAAACACCGCTACAATGCAATTTGTGACATCTGACATGCTGAGAGTGAGCACCACGTGAAGAACCAGACGAAAAGGTGCATTCATGTTCCTCTGTTAAAATCAGGAGTGGGCATAAGAATTCACAGAGAAATACCTATACCTCATGTGACTCTGACCAACTGTGTTGCTCCTGCCGCTGCTGATGAATATGTTGATGGAGGGGGTTGCTTGTTCGTCTTCTTCTGCCCGTCTTGATGTGAACTAGAGCTGGTGGTGAGACAGGAGGGGAAACACGCAGTCAGAGTGGTTGTCTTGTGCTTTCAGAGCCAGGGCACTTTCACGGATTTCATCACGATGGCTTGGAGAGGAGGGAGAACACGGCCGTTTTATCGACACATTCCTTATTTAAACTAAAGACGGGTGTTGTTTCAGACCCGAGGACTGAGAAGAGAAAAAAAAGGTAATGTCTATAATCAACTGGAAATTACCATAACATGTTGCTACGCCGTGTTTTATTCGACAATGGTGGTGGTGGTGGTGGTTCCTATAGGGAAACCGGTGCTTCTCCTAACCTCCGCCGCGATCACCACAGCATTGTTCTCTTGTTGACTTATCAACAGTGTTTTTGCCTTTTATGTATCCTACATGTGTGCGCTGTTTTGGTGAATGATTGATTTAGATTTTTTTCTAGCCACACATTTCCACATTCAAAGGTGTTGTTACGCTGCGGGCCTGCCGACTGTATGAAGGCAAATTCCCCCTCGATGCCAACGTAGCGTTGTTAGCATAGCGACAGGCTAAGCTAACCTTAGCCGCTTGATAGTCGTTGGCGGTGCTTACCGTTACTTCAGCCCTCTGTAAATAAGTGGTAACCGTTAGTCATGCTAAAAATGTACCATGGCAACTCCAGCGCAATCGTAGCCTTTAAACTAATATAAGGTAAATGTTTAATATTGTATCTTGAGAGACTGAGGTTAGCTTTGAGTTATGGGACATGAAAGTTCCGTTATGTTTGTCTTGCTAACTTGGCTGCTGCGTTTCTTTACCTAGCATAGTGAACTTTTTTTTTTCTTCAGCTTAAGTTTACACGACTAGCTTGATAACGAAATAAATTAACGCCAGAGACATAACCCTCGACATGGCCTGAAATACAATGCTTTTGCAACTGCACAACAAACAAATGTGATTTAAATGGACAGCCACTGAGACCCTGACAGTGTTGTGGTGGAGTTAAAAATCAACCGTTGTGGTTTTTCTCTCCTGTTTGATATTTCCCTGTCGAAAACAGAGGTGGAAGAAGTAGGCTACTTGGATTGTGTAAAAGCAGAACTACCAGAATGCAGGATTATTCAGTAGTAAGAGTTCTGCATTAAAGTTTTATTAAGTGAAAATACAAAAAACTCAATGTACAGAAAGTAAAAGTACTCATTGTGCATATTGGCACATTTAACAATGATATATATTATATGTTTTGATTATAATTATTGATGCAATAATGTGTTTATCACAGCTGCTAAAGGTGGAGCTAATTGTAATTCCTGTGTATAGTGCAAAGTAACTTGTAGATATACTCCAAAGTCTTATTTAAGTCTTGAGTACATTTCGTATCCAAATCCAAAGTTGCCTCTGAATTGTAGTGGGGTAGAAGTACTAAGTAGCAACAAATGTAAAGTACAGGTCTGTCAGAATTGTACTTAAGTACAGTGTACAATTGAGTACATGTACTTAGCTACTCAACATCACTGGTTCGAGAATATAACCGTTTGTAAAAATCCATTGAGTTGTGTAACGTTAATGTGAACAACATATTCTGTTGCAAGAGGTTTCTAGAAGGGCAATATCTGTAGGCGTAAATTAAACCTGTGATTGTACTTGACTCCCTAGAGTTGTACCAGTATAAGCTGTTTGCTTGTGGGTACTTTTTTAATATGCAATGGATGCTGTCTGTCAGTTAACTCTTAACATTGTGTGTGCAGTTTAACTAGTTAACCTAGAGAATTACTGGTTGAAAAGTGGAACTTTCTGTAAGCAATAGTATCAACAGGTTGCATTTTATAAGAGTGTAGGCCGAGTATTTAAAAGTGTTTTTTTTTTTTATCTTGTGACTCTATTGCCTCAGGTGGATTATAAACTGCCCTTTTTCAAATGGGTGTTCTTTCAGATATATCACATCTGAGCTGAACTCTGGTCTGACATCCCGTGTGCTAAGCTTCATAATTCCTCATGTATACTTGCCTCCAGATGGAATTTGATATAGGGTTTATTTAAAAAAAAATTAAACCTGTCACATCTGATCAATTCTTTGCAGCATGCTGTTTCAATGGGGGCTGTTTTTATTTGTATTAAAGCTTTAGCTAAGGACAAAAACATCTGTGTTGAAAGCAGTCGCAATGCTGCTGGTTTTCTTTTGATAAAACATTAAACAACCCAAGCTAACTAGCCTCACAGATTACATATGTGTTATCTTCTCTGCGGTCAGGCGACTCTCACTGCACAGGATTCACTGCCTGTATTGCGCCATGTTTTTGTTCGTTCGATATCTGTATAACCTAGATGTTCCATAACTAGATCTTACATGCCACAGACAGGGTAACTGATATGCAAGATTATTGGATAAATGGAGATGTAATTGTATATGCATGTTTATGAATCAACCAACAAAAATAACAGGGGGACATGGATCTTCTTTTAAGCATTATGCCTTCTGCAGCAGTGAGGGTGTGGTTTCCTGTTAACTACTAATAACATTACTGTATTGGAGATGGGCGTTTGTAACGGATGCTTGGCGAACTGATAAGTGTCAACTACTGTCGAGACTGTTTCACTAAAACAACATGAACAAAAGTGCTGACTTTCTGAGTCTCCTTTTGTTGAAACAGGTTTATCAAGACTCAAAAACAAGACAGCTTTTGTTAAAATTAATATCTTTTTTATTACCTAGGACAAGATATTTACTAACTGTATCCTCCATTCCACTCTTAAGTTATTTGTCTTCAGTTTTGACTCCACCCTTTCCCTCTCTACATCGTCCCTCCCTGTGTGTGTGTGTTTGATAGGTTACTCTTGTGGGATGTATCAATTAGGGATGGGAACGATTAATAAAATATTCGAAATTATTCAGGTATTCGAATATGAGTTATGAATTATTTTTTTTAGGAGGGGTGCCTAAGTTGATTACATATAATTCAATGTATACGACAGTGTCATAGCTAAATGTGTTAGGTCTAAAGGTGTGTTTTGCTCCGCTCACCGGTCCCTCACAGCGGGCAGAGCTGCAGGTGCTGATCTCTCTCTCGCGTCCGGTTATACTTCACTCGTGTTTATGTCCAAATCCATCAGATCTAGCTAGTTCTAGCTAATAATATGGCTGCTGCCCCTCCCTACACGCAGATCACGCAGACTCAAACCTCATCTTATGCCCAAATTCCAGCTGAGAGGGTCTCCTCTACAGCTGGCCTGATTGTGAATCGCCTCCGCACCCGCCTCTCCCCTGAGTAGACATGCTCATATTCTTAAAGAAGAATGAGTATTGAATAGCTGCATTCTGTGCATAGGCCCTGTTATAGGTTGCTGATCTCTGTTGTAATAGGGTTCGTGTCTGATCCCTCTTTAACTTAAAAACCAAGTTATGTTTTAAGCATAAAAGCTGTAGGCCTATAGCTATCAACTGTTCAAACTGTGATCACCAGTTCAATACATTTGACAAAGTCGACTCTATACTTATTTGAACATGTATTTATTTATTTTTCCAAATTCTTATTTATTTATTTTTCCCACATTTCTTTTTGTATAGGATATGTACATTTCGGTTAACTGTTTTTTTGGGGGTTGAATATTCAAATATACATTTGCTTTCAAATTCCCATCCCTAGTATCAATACTATGTCCCTGCACTCTCTTGTCCTTCAGGTGATGAGCTGGATGGTGCCATGTGAATAATGAAGACCATGAAGCCCACACACAAGGCGCTGTTCATCCTGTGCCCCACGCTGGTCCTGGGCTTTATTTACTACTCCTCCGGGAAGCTGCATCTACACGTATGGGGCCCGAAGCCTCGTAAGTGACATCTCCAGTATGACTGTTTGTAATGTGACTCATCTCCTGATAATCCATCTGGACTCGTTTAAAAAAAAAAAAACTATTAAGCAAATGTGTTTGACACCTGTCTCTGTTTTGCTTCTCTGCTGACTGCCTGTTAACCGTCTGCCTATTTCCACCTGTTTATTTGGTTTTATTCTACAGTCTTTCTGCTGAACCGTATGTCATGCTGTGTTTCTCAAAACCTGTCTCTGATATTGATCATTCACATCACCAGAGAACCGGAAGTAGTGGGGAGCGTTAATCAGGTTTTCTTGCCGGTTGGGTTGCTCTATCTCTACTGAAAATCATCCTGTGCAGGTCGTCTGATGGAAATCTACTGTCAGCCCTATCACTCGGCTTAGTAAGAACCTATGAGTTAACCAAAGAGATGGAAACCTTTGCTGACTGTCTTAGAGACAGCATAGCATACTACATGAGTAGGCAATAACATCTTGAGATTTCCACACTTAGATGGTGAAGATTCTGTTTTGCAGTTCCCTTTATTACATACTAAAAAGGCACGCCCTTTGGCATTGCATTTAAAAATAACCATGACCTGTTTGTGGTGTTGGTTATGAGTCAGTTGGATTTCCTTTTAATGTTGGATATCCGGAGGATTTGAGTTTATATTGAGAACTGTTTGCGGATGATAGACCTGGCCTTTTTCTATTTGACTTTTACCTCATTCACACCAACGGTGTTTCGGGGCTGGTTCGGAGCTGGAGCTTGAAAAGCACCGGGTTTTCCTCTTCACACCGCAGCCTCTTAGCTCCGGAATCCGGTTCGTTTCAAGCACCAAAAAATGGTCCTGCTAGAGCAAAAGCACCACATACGTCACGCTAACGTCGAGGCGGGGGCAGAGGCGGGATCAACTCCTGAACAACAACAAAAAGCCCGCGTTTTATCCAGTTTGTACACAACGATGGAGAAACTTAACAAGCAGCAGTGGTCCACTGAAGAGACCAGCTACCTACTGGGAATCTGGTCTTCCATAGAGCTACAGAGGAAGCTGGAGCACAATCAGTCATTGTTGTTGTTGTCGGTGTCAGCTGTGAGGGGTTTCTGCGAGGTTTGGCTTTATGAAGCAGGCACGCAAACGGTTACGTCATGACGCAAACGATGACGCAATGACGCAGCACCAGTCGACTCTGGGCAGTGTGAAAAGAGCCGGAGCTAAACCGAAGAACCGGTTCTGAACCTGAGCTAGCACGGAGCTTGAACCGGAGTTGCGTTGGTGTAAATGAGGTATAAGAAGTGATAACCGACACAACAGGGGTTTGGTTTCCATCACACTGTGTGGGCACCCTGAAACAGCTAGTAAACTCCACCAGAGGGGGCTAGAATATTTCTAACACCTCTTTGCCAGTGCCATATATTTTCTATGAAAACATTCTCAGGGAGAGCTTTTGGCACGGAAAACACAAATATTAGTGTTGATGGCATAGCTAAAGGGACAGTGTTCTGTCAAAAGTGTCATGCTTTTTCTTCCTGGTATTCCTTTATTGATGCCTATCATTGTTCACTACACACTTCTTGTGCTAAATTGCAACCAGTATGTAAATGTTTCAAATATTTGTATTGAGAAGAAGCACTTAGTGTAAGCAATAGTACAGACTTCTTTGGGGTGGAAATCATGCTTCCCTTTTTCAACATAGAAGACAAACAGAACAGCCAACAAGAAATAATAGAGAAAAACATGGCATGACAGGAATACCATACATAATGACATACATAGTCCTAGTGGGAAAGAACATACACAATAGTATATATAATACAAATAAATAAATAAACTTAAGGGGTGCAAATGAGCCCAGACGACCCCCCCACCCTTAACCAGTATGTACATTAAACCATTTCTACACATTACACTGCAAAATAACTTCCAGAGAAAGCTCTTCTTCATCAATGTCATTACTTTCCTTTCAACTCATCACTTTTCTCCATCATTGCTCCCACTGTGGTCGAAGTAGGGCTTCACATTTCTCCTCATATTATATGCCAGGAATGCAAGCATGGATTTTCTCTGTGTGTGTAGAAGTATGCTGTTATATTCGAACATGGAGCTCCACCATAACAGACCTGTGTGAAAGTCCAAAAAAGCAATCCGAATCAGATGTGCTATGTTGCCGTCTGAAATTGCTATTTAACCAGCACTGAATATGTTTTAAATAATGAGTCAGTGCTTAACATGTTTGCCTTTTTCAAGTAAGAAGCGTTTCTTTAATTGCAAACTGTTGATAGAGGAGGAGGGATGAATCATGTCACAATGTGTGGGCGCCCTGAAACAGCGGTTTAAATCTCGTTTTCCATACACAACAAAATCATTTCATGCCTGTTCCAGCATGTGATGAACTTTGTCCACATTGGGATGGCTTTTGAAAACTGCCTTACATAAATGTGTCTGGATTAATGCTGTCAAAATTATCACGTTAACGGTGGTAATTAATTTTTAGAATTAATTGCATTAAAATATTTAACGCATTTAACGCATGTGCAGAATTGCCCGCCCCATACATCCCACCAGTGGCAGCGCCAGGGTATGGCTGGGTAGGCTACACCCATACCAAGAAATGGCTTAGCCCCACCATGAAACATGATGTTAAAGTAAGCAAAATAAAGTCCGCCAACTCGCGCCGAGAATTGCACAGACAGCAGAAGATTGATTTCAGCAGCCACTTGTCTGGAAATACCGAAGACCAGAAACGGTTTTGAAAACTTTTGTCACGTAGTGATCGTCTTCTCAATTGAACATCTTTGATAATGTCTTCTGGCCAATCAGAATCACGATAACGGCGTGGTGTTGTTTCAGGAAGTCCCGACGGAGAATACTTTTGCTGTAGTACAGGGGTGCACATAACTGGTACGCAGGTTATGTGCGTAATCTGAAATGCGTACCGTCACTTGTGTCACAAAGCGCATTTGCGTACCGACGTACTTGTGAAGCTTTTCCAGAAGGCGGTTAGATCACCGGACGACAGAGTCGGTCTCCGTGTGCACAGACAGGGCTGCTGTTAACGTCGGTCTGTACAACGGAATTGTGCCAAAACTACGCCAACCGGCTGCGGAGGGAGACTCCCCCCCCTTCACTGGAGAACTGCGCTAAAACAGCTGATCACAATGTTCACACTCTGTGGTCACGAAGTACTCCACTAGCCCCTCCCCCGTCGACTTTCCTGAAGTACTCTCCCGTTTGTAGAAATCAACACGTAATGAATTAAGACCCCACGGTTTGATGATTGATAGGTGCTCTCTTTCATTTTGACGCACAGAAAAATGTTACAATAAACATGTTAAATGGATATATCCGCCTTCTTTCATTTATCTTTCCATTCCCACAACAATATACATAAAGAAATGACATATTTTGGACATAGTTCGAATGGTGATTAATCATGATTAATACATTTTTAAGCTGTGATTAATCTGATTAAAAATGTTAATCGTTTGACAGCCCTAGTCTGGATATTACTTAATTATTTTATAACATTTTTATATACTTCTACTTTTTTTGGAATAGTTGCTTCTTTCTAACATAGCATTTGTCTTGATCACTTTAACGCCTCCTCTTTTTGTATAGGGCACCACTGACAGTACGTGTCAGCTGTCCTTGGCTGCGTTTCATATCTGATTTCTCAAGCTGTGACCAAGGTCTCTGTATAACTAGGCTCTTGTTTTATGTTGTGAGTGCGACACTTTCCATTTTGTTCTTAATGCATGATCAACATGCATAACTCCCTAGCAGTGAAGTAATATGCTTTCAACCTTGTATGGTCACCTGCATGGGACTGAAATGAGAAGCAGTACGTTTATTTTAATAACAGCTTGACTCACCTTTTGATGTGAAAAGAATGGGGCTTATTTCTTTCTGACTTGCACTTCAATAGCACAAAGCAAAAGGAGAGGAGCTTTGATTGCAGTGGGAAATATTGGCTTTCTCCCTTACTGTGGTGCCAGATGTTCGGCTTAAAAAAGGTCAAAGGAGAAAGAGGAGAATGTGGATGCTCTCTCGCACCCTCTGTCATGGTCAGCTAAGCTGCGCTGAGAGGATCACATCTGGATGGTCTCTTTTCCTCGTTCTTGAATTGTAATGGTAGAGACTCAGTCAGCGCTCCACAGACAAATGGAACATATAGAGGATTATCTCCTGCTCGTCATATCTGCTTATTCATCGGGCTCTTAGTTTCTGTCTTCTTTGCAGCAGAAAACAAAGGATTGTGATGCACTATAGTATGACATCCAGGTGAAATATCTGGGTATTGAAATTGGGGTACAAAGGAAAGTGATATTTCATCAGGGCCTCTATATCTATAGATCAGATCAGCGCTGAATTCTGTTCCCTTTTACTATATTTGTGTTCAACCAAAGATCAGATTCAGTGTTCCCATGGTCTGTTTGTTTTACGCTATCTTTTGACTCTGCTCTAGAGTGTCAACATCAGAGCAGGTTCATGTGACCATGGTCATTCCTCTATCAGCTGCAGTGTTTGTCTCTCGTAAGCTTGGAGTGTTGATGTCAACTGTCCACTCTTCAACAATGGTCCTCTTCTCTTCCCCAACACATATATATTTGATCTACTAGTTGTACTTATGTGTAGCTCCTAGGAGGGCTCTTAGTGAACAATTTCAAAATGTTGTGTGCCCGACACACAAGAGCCTCTTATCTGCCTTGTTCGCTGGCTTCATTGTCTCATTCAACTCAAATGAAAATGAAAGCCCTAAGATGAAATACATGAATACAGCCTGCTCAATTGCTGTGTGTGCATTTAAAATGTAGATGTAGAAGCAGTTCGATGATGTCGGTCCGCACAGACATGAACGTTGTTGTTATTGAAGCAAACATTCATTTGCCGCCAGATTATTTTTATGGTCAATGAAGGCAATTACAATACAACTGTTGTCATTGATCCGCTTTCATGTTGCGAGTTTTAAACAGAGATTTCATTGACTTTTCCAGTTCAGCAGGGCATGGATTATTGTTGACCTTGTTAGAGATGTGTTAGTGGACACTAAATCGAGTATTTAACTGTATTGATGCATACTGTAAGGGATGGAGGCTACAGAGATAGGTTTAAAATAGCCGAGATAAAGTCATCATGTTAACCAGATAAATGCTGATTATATATTGCTGTTGTTCTACTTCCTAACAATTTGCCAGAATTTTCCGCCACATCTCATGGGTTTTATGGAGCAGATGGAGTTTCAAGCCTCTGTTTTTAAAAACGATGTACTTGTTACAACATACGAAGCATTGTATTTTGGTCATGTGATAACAGGTTTTTGTGTTTTAGAAATATGGACGGTGTAGAGGCAACATAATGTCGTATACTCACCTTGCGTTGGGTCCATCTTTTATTTCTTAGGGCAATCATTGTTACCGTTCTCTTATTGTGTTAATGTTTCAAGTGTGGGTGAAAAGCATCAGTTTAAAGAGTTAGTTGAAAAGTTGTTCACACGTAAATGTTGTTTTCAGACTGTCCCCCGTTGTTGCACAGATGTTCCAAACAGATTGGCCAACACTTGTCGTCTTCAACCTTTGACAGAAGCGTTGTTGTGCCACACTTCCGTTTGAGTTCAGAGCCACCCAATAGTCGCTTAAAATAGTTTGCTTTGAGGTTTGTAACGGGAACAGTACCTCATTGGGGTTTGTCCTTGAAATGAACACCTGCAGGGTGAGAACTACATTTCTTCAACCAGCCAAGCTGCATTTGCACTTGACTAAAGTAAAACAATGAATTTGCTCATAGAGATGTTATGACAAAGAAACCAGTTGTTGGTTATAACAAATCTCTAGTATTTTCCTTTATGTCATTTTCAGGGCTTTGTTAGTGGTGATGTCTGAATTTGCCTAGGGAGCAGTCTCTAATTATTTCCGACCCAGTTTGGTTTTCATCATCAGGGATTGCCTTCTCTCGTGGTCAGCAGGGATACGCCTATACAGTTTCAGCTGGAACGGAGTTTGGCGCTTCCTAATTGGGGAATTTGATCTGCCAGAAGCCCTCACACGGAGAGGGTGTGTGCTTACTGCTTTTAATAAAAGAATGCCGTCATATTTGTTCTTGCTCTGTTTTCTGACTGGGCTTTGTAGTTTTGCAATATGTAATCCTGGATAAACAACGTGGTAGCTGTCCTCTGATTGTCTTGATTGAAGCGAGAGACATTTTTGTCTTTTTTACCCTCTAATACCTGTGTAAGGTTTCTTGTTTGTATCCATTCGATAAAGGAAAGTAAAATGATTCATCTAAAAGGGGATGTAGAGTAATAGCAGTTTCTTAATTCACCATAATAATCATGGCTTTTAGGATGTTCAGAGTAAGTCACAGTCATTCGCTGTGGGTCTGACGGTGCGGTTCCCACAGCTTCTTTGCAAAAAAAGTGAGAAACTCGTTGTTCTGAGATACTTTCAGATTCAGATTCAGATTCAGATACTTTCAGCTAGTTCTCCATGAATGTCTACTGTGATGGCAGACATTGGAGGATCAGCATTAATCCTTTGAAGTTTTGTGTCCTTCATCTCTGTCTGCCTTTTGTGTGCATTTGTTTTTGTGCGATGCCACAGTCTGTGTTTTGCTGACGATGTTGTTGCTTTTTTTTAATAATATTCTCAGTTCTTTGGTCTTGGTTAATAGTTGCTTCCACATCTCCACAGTGACTTAACCCCCTTTTGTTTTCAGAGAGTGATGCAGAAGAGACAACTGTAGTCCTGACTAAAGGGGCAGAAGTGAAAAGAATTCCAGGTAGAGGCACTGAGACCCTGCCCGTTTATGACTGGGTGACTGTCAAACAATTTATTCGGGCGACTTTACACTGGGCTGTTTTATTATTAAAAACATTTCTTGGAATAAACATCTCTGCTAACTCAACCATGCAGGCTACAATTGCTCACCACTATAATATATTTATTTAATTCAAAAATATTTTAGTGCTCAATCACTCATTGACCTTAATTGGAATCTTTCAATATACGTTTGCCATGATAATCTCAAAAACACAATGAGGGTTATTTCCCCTGCATTGGACTTTCCACCTTTGAATAAGATTGACAATTGGTAGCTTTAATCCTACTGGGCTGCCTTTTTAATTCTACTATCTCCTCCTCTTTCTCTGTAATGTCGGACATTTGCAGTTGGCTTTAATTTCAAGTCCTTTGCTGCCATGACAGGCTGAGCTCAAACGGTGCTAACTGACCATTTTGTGTTTCAGAGTTGGAAACGGAAATCACCGGGGGACGAATAGTAGGCTCAGGTACATCTGCAGGCCCACCAACCGAACCCCCACTCATCTAATTCTCCCGCAACCTTTTAAAAGAAAATAACAAAACCTCTTTTAAAACCCTGCGATACTTCAGCAGCCACATTTGGCTTGAAAAGCTAGTCATTTGCATCCAACAGTTACTATCAGGGGAAATAATTCAAAGTCAAATCTGACTACTAGTGAGGAACTCAACATCTGCTCAGCTCTTTCTCCACATGAAGTGTGATACAACACTGCCCTCTATTGTCCTGGCTCAGTAACAAAATGGTTGGCAAGTGAAGCAGTCTGCAGGCGTTTTGATGCATAATACTGTTTCCACACAACAACATTTGTGTTACTGGTTAGGACCCTGCCGCTTTGATTTCTCCCAAGCTGCTGCCTCGGCTTGGCCCTCTGGCTGCTTTATGCTTCTCAACAGAAACATAGTACACACACACACACACACACACACACACACACACACACACACACACACACACACACCACACACACACACACACACACACACACACACACACACACACACACACACACACACACACACACACACACACACACACACACACACACACACACACACACACACACACACACACTTGCTCTTCTTGGCTGCTATGGCTAAGTCCCAATCCTCCAGGGCAGTGCTTGGATCCTTCCCTAACCAGCCGTCACGCATTCCCATTGTCTTTTTCTTTATCTTTCTCCTCCAGCTTCTCTGTGAAGACAAGATCCGCAACCACAGGAGTAATACCACGCTCTTCCTACTTTCAACTAATACCCATCTTAAACGTAGCCTTCGTCATGCTAATCACAGCATTTTACTGACAGAAATTCATATAACTTGTTAGCACTTTTCTGATCTATCAGTATAGAAAACACAGTATAGATGCTCAATCGATAACATTGAGAATAACGTTCTAATCTCCCCATACATATTTACCTCTGTGCTTCTCTGTCTTCTACCTTAACGCTTCACCAGGCACCTATTGGCCGCCCCTTTGGTTGTCTATAGGTGATCTCTAACTTCTTTTTTTCTAACTTTATTTTCAACAGATTGTTTTGGCTGGCTTCTCCCTAATCGCGCTTGTTTTTCTTTCCTCACAAATCCTTAATTCTAATGCTTTATTTTCTTTTACATTCGCCATTTTGTTTTCCCCTGTGAGCGATGCACAGGTTGTTTACAACTACAGCCAATGAGCTGATAGTTGAAAACGATGTACATTGGATGAGCAGTACTAATGTTCCGACTATATAACGTTTTCAGATGCCGTGCTTTCTATCTTTGTAGATCTGTGCGATAATTTCTATCTCTGTCTGTCTTTTCCAGTGTATGATAAGCAGGGCTTTCTGCTGCAGCTGGACACAAAACTGTGAGTACATGTCTTTCTAGAAAACATTTCTGCCATTTCAAATATGGTATATTTATCACCTAATATATTTAGAGCAGTTGAATCCCCAGTTGCACTTTGACTCCATTAATTTGGATTTGTTTAACAGCTTGCTCCACTGAATACTTATTCATGCCACTTCTAGTTGATCGATTGGAAACATGAAAACGTAAATCTTCAACCAATGAATCTTTAGTTTTTTTTTTTTTTTTAAATAAACATACATCAGTTCATTGGTGTTCTAACCAAAACCTGGTGACAAATGCACACGCTTAATTTGTGCTCTGAGTAATACATAGGAAGATTTGTGGAAATTGAGATGTAGTTGGTCTTTTTCCCCTTTTTATTCCAAACCGGCTGTAGTTTGTCAGGCTGAGAACATGCTACGTTGAGTCATTACCCAGCTGTCATTGTGTCAGCGTGTCTGTTGATATGTGTATAATTCCCTGAATTGGTTTGACACTCTGGCTCTAAACTGCCACGATAAGGCCCTCTCTCCAGCCCTCCCATTAGCATGCAGGCAACAATCGTAATGCTCCCCTCACCACCCCGACTCTCACAGGGCACATCTGTCCACACTCTGCACCCCCACTGTAAGCACTGTGTCAGCACACACGTTAGGGTGGTTTTCACATGGCTTCAGTTTATCTAATACTGCTCCTTACATTATATCTACAGTCTCATTCATTACTCCGTTAGAGCACATGTGTAAAATGGGGCAATCCATCTTAAAACTCTTTATTAGTTTTTGTGAGTTGTAATTCCTGCTGATAGCCTTCATTCCTAACAAACCACATACCAACTTAAGGCCAAGCTTTATTGTAGCATACTTAAAAATATTAATTTAGTGCAGAAAAGTTTCAAATTTGTGCACAAGCCCTCTGCCAACTCTGATTGCAAGGCAATTTATATAGCAACTTCAACAAAAGGCAATTCAAAGTGCTTTACAAAATTGAAAATCGTTAAGAGCAAGAGCTTTAACAAAAAGTGTAGCGAAATCACTACAAAATGGCTTTTAAAAACAGCCATTAAAAATAAAATAAACATAAACAAGCTAATATAGAGTAATACAGCTATAAAATACATGAATGAAAGTTACAGTGCATACATAGTTCAATTAAAAGCGGCAAAAAGACAATTCAATTGGGAAGGCCTCACACAGTGCCCTGACTTTGGACTCTCCCCCTTCTCCCTGTTTATTTGAACTAGATTCATGGCCTTCACCAGGTTATTAATGATCATGCTAGTAATCGGGAGGTTCTAGCTTTAGCACCGCCTGTGTGATTATTTGAACAAGGCCCCTCTGCTTTGTCTTGCCACACACAGGTGATGCTGAGCCCTCCAACTTCCTAAACCACCCGTTTTTCTCTTGAGCACGTTGTTTGACAAGCTCCGTTTTCGAGGCTTAGATATATGTCAGTGTAATTGATAATCAGTTATCACAATGTGTCTGATTAATCGCTCCCTCTGTTCTTTAATGTGCAGGCCACAGGAGTTGGCGTACAAGTATGGCAACCTCAGCGAAGGAGCGTGCAAGCCAGGATACGCAGCAGCCAAGATGACCACCATCTATCCTAAGTGAGAAGGATTTTTGCTTGCATAACTGTGTGGAGATAGATTTGGATCCTTTCTTTAAACTTGCTCTAAGAACTTCACATACAATCACAAGCTTCACACAGTAATCATTCTAATTGGTTGTCAGCGTAGAAAAAGCTAAAACTGTCGGACATACCAAGAAGCATGATGTCACTCCTCCAAGCCAACTTGGCCTTAAGGGTTTTGAGTCAGACACAGAGAAACCCACACATTCCTCTCCAATCTTTCCCCGTTGTTATCATGTTTCTATCATCTTCTCCCCGCGACAAAACACTGACTGTGTTCTTGTGACCCCGTTGTTAAACAAAAGCACTTTTGTCACACGAGGACAAGATCTCCCATCTTTCTCATATCGCAGCGGACAGCCTTCGAGGCTTTCTTCATGAACGGCACCGACCAACTTCCTGTCTTGACTCATCACCAGCTTCCTGCTACACAAACCACACAGTCCACGCAACCCTCATCGACCCTTTTCTGATGTCATTGGCTTTTTTGAGTTTTATATTTTCCACTACTTGCCACCAAACAGCTCAATCTATAGAGCATTGTCCCAGCAGGGGCTAAGCTAGTAGAGGGGCGATTTACAGCATTGCTGAACAATAGTATGTCAAAGCCAGTACAGAACTAGTTATAGGATTTGACTAATTTCTTAGAATTAGTATTGAACAAAGGATGTATCTATTGACTGAGGATGAACAATTACGCTCATAGCTATACAAAATAAAGTAAAGAATATTTTCCTTTTCACTTTTCTTTACATATGGCTTTGTCTCTCTGCCTGCCTATTCTGGCCTAATATTCTGTTAAAATAAGTTGATCTCAAAGTCCTAAGTTAGTCTTTTCAAACCGTATGGCATTATATATTCAGTATATATCAAATTCATTGACAAACCAACTTTAAAACATCACCCTCAGCCGTGCACTGTCAGCTATAATGTGCTGCTCAACAAGACTGAAAGCAGTGGAAATGCGCCAGGGCCTCGCCCGGCTTAGTGCGGTATAGTTAGGCCCATGGATGTATAATAAGAACTGGATACAGCGTGGGAGGCGGGGTCTCGTTCTTTCCTATGAAAGCTGCTCATAGGCACAGGAAGACAAAATGGCCCAACTTTTGAGAGAGCGAAACGTCACAGATTACCCATCATGCCTGGCTTTCAGAGAAGAAGAACCTGTATGTGCGCTCACAGAGCATAAGCCCCGCCCCCCGAGCTCCCACTCTCGGCTCAGTAGAATGAATGGAGACAGAAAATAAATCTAGATTCGGCTTTTAGTGCATTTTACAACTTTAAGGACCTAATGATTTTAATAAGGGCTATAAAATAGTCCATACTGGGTAGTTTATTTAGTTAAAAAAAAAGTATCTGCTGATTTACAGACGTTTCTTTCCCGATGTTAGTCAATGGGAAAAAGTCTTTCTGGGCCCAATGACGTCACGGACTGATACGGAAATTGTAGTACCGCCGTTTGGACACAACGAATATTTTCATCAGAGTCCGGCGCACTTCCTGGGGGCTTGCTTGGTAGGCCAGGCTCACTTTATGCTGCGTTTCCATTACAGTTTAGTAGCTGGGGCAGTAACTATAGTAACGCAGTGTAGGCGGAGCCGTGACGTCATCGTCAATGCGAACCACAGAAAACCAACATCAGCCGTTAGCTGTTTGCATTCGGAGCTCACTGCTCCTCATATCTGTTCAGAAACTAGACAAAAGTTAAAGGGGACCTATCATTCACTTTTGTACGTCTTTTATATATGAATACAGTTGCAAGAAAAAGTATGTGAACCCTTTGGAATTACCTGGATTTGTTGGTCATAAAATGTGTTCTGATCTTCATCTAAGTCACAACAATAGACAAACACAGTCTGCTTAAACTAATACCACACAAACAATTATATGTTTTCATGTTTTTATTGAACACACCATGTAAACATTCACAGTGCAGGGTGGAAAAAGTATGTGAACCCCTAGGCTAAAGACTTCTTCAAGAGCTAATTGGAGTCAGGAGTCAGCCAACCTGGAGTCCAATCAATGAGACGAGATTGGAGGTGTTGGTTAAAGCTGCCCTGCCCTATAAAAAATACACACCAGTTTTGAATTTGCTATTCTTAAGAAGCATTGCCAGATGTGAACCATGCCTCGCACAAAAGAGCTCTCAGAAGACCTACGATTAAGAATTGTTGACTTGCATAAAGCTGGAAAGGGTTACAAAAGTATCTCTAAAAGCCTTGATGTTCATCAGTCCACGGTAAGACAAATTGTCTATAAATGGAGAAAGTTCAGCACTGTTGCTACTCTCCCTAGGAGTGGCCGTCCTGTAAAGATGACTGCAAGAGCACAGCGCAGAATGCTCAATGATGTGAAGAAGAATCCTAGAGTGTCAGCGAGAGACTTAAAGAAATCTCTGGCACATGCTAACATCTCTGTTGACGAATCTACGATACGTAAAACACTGAACAAGAATGGAGTTCATGGGAGGACACCACGGAGGAAGCCACTGCTGTCCAGAAAAAACATTGCTGCACGTTTGAAGTTTGCAAAAGAGCACCTGGATGTTCCACAGCACTACTGGCAAAATATTCTGTGGACAGATGAAACCAAAGTTGAGTTGTTTGGAAGGAACACACAACGCTATGTGTGGAGAATCCAAAGGGTTCACATACTTTTTCTTGCAACTGTATGTGTTCCCGGTGTGTCAGGGAACTCACCAAGTGTCAGAAAACACAACCCTCTCTCTTTTCCTCCATACCCAAATCTCTAAAAACGGGGCTGCAACTGATACAGACTGATCCAGATTTGAAATATCTCTGACGTCAGAAACGAGGAGCTCCGCCTATATGGGCAACTCTCCACCTATCAGGAGGAGACAGCCACGGCCATTGCCGTTCGAATGCGCTGGAGACGCTGTAGTACATATGCCAGGCCTGTAAGTGTTGATGTAGTCTGCCACAAAAGCAGCGAAGAAGACTTCTCAGATTCAGCCCTTGCAAAAACAGGGCTAAAAAAGAGCAAATAGAGCGAAATGAGGCATGGCTAAAATGCATGATCTGTTTGGTATTTTGAAAAAAAACTTTGCAGACATGTTTTATATAGGTATGGCCCTACAATATTATTCAAATATAGCATGATAGGTCCACTTTAAACAAGTAAAAACCACAGACTGTCTGTGTCATGGCGAATACAGTCGCTGGTTTATTTATGTCTATATATAGGCCGTTGTTGTGAGTGTGGACGGTCGGAGCATATACTGTGTTAGCTTAGCCGATCTCCATTCAGAAAACACACTTTTAAAAAGGTTTTTCGCCTACCGTCTTGTCCATGGGAGCCTGCCTGCAGGCGCCAGTCTCAGGACACCTCCACTCTCAGGACAGGAAGTGCATGCACGCTAAGAATTACAAAATAAAATCGCCACTATCAGTACAGCACCACTTTCCGAACAGGAAATACACGCTAATACAAAATGCCGGGAACCTCCACCCCGCTGCGGGACCCGTGGTGGGACCCCTAAGTCAGACGGTGCGTCTTGGTCACGCTTCATATCGGCCGGCCCGGGAAGGAAGAGACACGCAGAGTGGGGGGAGTCCCCCACCCCAACGCAGCACACCCTCCTGGCCATCAGAGTCGAACCCGCAGTTCGGAGGAACAGACCGCCAGAGCACCGGCACTAGGCCGGGCCGGTGGACGCCCTCCGATGGTGGGTCGCGTTTGCTTTTGAGAGGAGAAGAGAAAAATGTTAATATATGGATGAGTTGAGGGGGAAACGGCTGGACACAGGCTGTGGGGGGACACCCGAGACTGGGCAGTGTCCCCGGTAGAAGGAACCAGGTGAGAAATAGGGGGAAAAGTGAAAAAAAAAGTAAAATAGCCACTCGTGAGGCGGGCAGAGTCCCCTGTCAACTCCCGTTACATTCCTCCATGGTGTCGTTTGAGCGAAAAATGGCTAAGTCAACTTTTACGAGAACCAGATAGGGGGGGTCAAAAGGGCTTGACCAAGGCCGACCCAAAGTGCATGGTGAGCGGACTCATCACCTCCGTGAGGAGTCTCCATTGTGATTTGAAAACTAACATCAGACGAGTCCTTCGGGGGGCGGGGGAAAAAAAGCGTTCGTCATGGATCGTCACTTCCTGTACAGAGAGTGGAGGTGTACTGAGAGTGGAGCCTGCACCGGAACTGTCCTGAGAGTGGAGGCCTGCAGGCAGACCCCTCTCGTCTTGTCTGCAGACTTGTCAAAGCATTAATTCATGATTTTTACTAACCGGTATCAGTATGGTGTTACTTCGGCATCATTTTGAAACGTGTATTACAATTTAAATCACGGTAAAATATGTTCATTTTGTTGTAGTTGTAGCCCCCTTGCCAGCGATTCTCTCACTAATTTAGCATATTCAGCCCGGTTGTTGGCCCGGAAAGAACCTGGATTTTGGAGAGCCAGAAAAACTGTGAAACAGTACTCGTTAGCCGGAACTACCCCTGGTGGAAACGCACCAAAAACGGGCCGGGTTTGGCACGGCACGCTTAAACTGTGCTACGCGCTGCAGTGGAAATGCGCCATTAGTGGACTGCCCTCTACCTATACGAGAGGCTACTTGTTAACAATGTCCTCCCTCTTAATGACTTCCTCTAATCAGCCGCACGTGTCAGATCAAAGTTCTGCACAACAATGAGCCTCCACTGGGAGCCCGCTGATTACCACCACCTTCAACCCAGTCACACATAGGTCAATGAGCACAATTAATGCAGCGCTTGGTGTATGTATGTGTTTGTACGAACGAGTGTTAGTGTATGGTAGAACCTACACAATCCGAGCAGTTTGTGATTAATCACGTCCTGTGTGAAAAGGAGTCAACCAATTAACATCTTGTTTGTTCACTCCGTCTGCATTGTATGTTTACATGGCCAAAACAATTTTTAAAAGTCCTTGTTAGCATTTTGTTAATAGGTGTGGCCCAGAGTTCAGCCGTTAGAGAAAACCTACTTAACCTCTCGCAGTGAGGTCCGCTTATGGCCCTTCCTCTAATCATCTCCTGCTTCCTCCATGTTTGTCTTCTCTGAAGCCCTCTGCCCTGCAGAATCCAATTTATTTTCCACCCCTCACCTCCGCTTTACCCAAAACTGTTTGTATTGAAGCCCTAAATCAAGTGTTGGCAGTGAACTTGAAGAGGCACGGTTATGAAAATATTGCCTGTGAGAGATAGACCTAGCAAAGGAAATGAGCACAATGCGTCCGTGCCTGTTGGCTGTTTTGGGAGCCCTCTCTTTTGATCCAACAACAGGCAGCCCCCTGTCTCTCTGCTCTCTCAGGATGTCAGTGACTGACTGTCAGTCAGGGCTCAGTGACTTGCAGCGGTCCTGTGTTAATTATAGCCACTTCTGGCCTCAAAAGTCTTGGGTTGAATGAATCTCCATTTGTTTTGGCAGGACAGACGTCTCTGAGTGGTTGTGCCCCTGTTGGGTGAGGAGATAACGCCCTCTCCCCTTGTGTCATCCCACTACTTTCAAGCTTTAAACCTGGAGGATGATGAGGGTATCAAGGACCGATTAGGGTGCTCGGAAGAGCTTTAAGCTAACGGGAAGGCTTCCCAATAATGTCGTCCATGTTTGGTCATTCACAGCTCACATGTATTTCTTGTAAACCCATGGAGGTATTATGGGAACGAGCTATCCATGATTCCTGCTGAGAAACAAGGGAGTGTGATCCGTCCTGATTCCAGTTAGAAATGCCATTGCATTGTTATTGCATAAGAAGTCTTAATTTATGGTTGGTGTTAGAAAGAACCGCCATGCGAGTATGTTCGTGTGTGTGCAATTATTATGTCTCTGCTAATCTCTGTGCAACTGTCTTCTATTATAAACAAAATAATGAAAACCAGCTCAATAGATGTCTCTGAGGCGCCTAGCATTGTCTTTTCTGTGTGTCTCCTGATTGATTATTTAGGTCTGACAAGGAAAGGCAAAGAGCTTTATGCATGTTAACGTTAGACAAGAGACAACGGAAGAGGCTGTCTCCCCCCCCCCCTCCAGCTTTACAGCAGGTCATAAAAACACACATTCATCCTGGAGCCACACTTGCAGAAGTGGCACGTAGCCCAGTATTCGGGTCGCAGGCGTGACTAAGAGGAAATTGATTATTTTGATTTCAGAGCTGAAATGAATCAAAGAGGGACACACACGCACTTATACAGACACACAGGATGAGGAAGAGGCATTGCTGGAAGTAGCCTTTCATGGGGCGTTAAGAACACAGTTACAGACGTGTCTTTGAATATAAAACTCAATTCGTTTTTTAATGTGGCAGAAGTTTAACTTGCCTGTTCTTTGTCATGAGTGAAAACAAACCCCACTTCGAACACTCACATTCAGTTTGTATAAACAGTCTCGGCTCAAATCATTTGAGGAAAAGCATTCTGGCAGGAGTATGATGTCCCAGCAGATTTATTGAAACCAAGTGTCAGCTGTGATTTAGGCCTGGGTGGAGAGGTTATGTTGATGAGTTTTTGAGCACACACACACACACACACACACACACACACACACACAGTTGTTTTTATGACTTTAGCAGGCAAGGTGGGGATGCGATTCGATCAATGACAGTGGAACAAGGGATTTAATGTATCATGTTATGGCTTAAACGTTGCCACAGTCAATATAGCTACTGTTCAAGGTGGAGCTGGTTTCATAAAGAGGAGCAAAGGTATGCGAGGGAACGCACAACAAAAAATAATAACTTCCCTTTCTCCTTCTCCTTCCTTTCCTGCGTCTCTTTGCAGGTTCATGAAACCAGCACCCATGTTTCTTGATCGAAACTTCAAACTTCTTGCAAAAGTCAGCAATTACTTACCTCCATTTGGATTCAAAACACAAGGTAAGAATGGTTCTTGCTATCTGTTGCCTTCTGTTTGTGATATCTACTGTACTGTCTACTGTATTTGTTTAACAATGCCTCAAAGGATGTTGCCTATACAATACAATTACTAGTATTAGATTTGATCCGGTGTGCTTAAAAGCTCAGAAGTGTTGATACAGGAGTTTGACATCGGCTGCATGTTACAGTATTTTGTGCCTGCGATGCCTGGCATCTCAGAGTAATAAAACATCTGATTGAGTTGGCACCAAGCCCAGATTTGTGTGTTTTTAATATTGCTCAGATAATTTACAGTTTTATCAAACAAGTCCAATATTTGTATTTAAGTAAGGGCTGCCAACCTTGTTCCCGTATCCTTATTCATCAGCTGGCTTCCCCTACTCTATCTACTTGTCGTCATTGTAAATTCTGAGACTGTTAAACAAACTGTGAACGTCTCTTATGAGGCAGGTTTTCTATAGTCTAATGTTCCCACTGAAATTCATTTTGTTGCTTCTTTGAAAAGATTGTGAGTAGCTATTCAGAAGTATGAAATCAAGCTGGTTATTTTGTCCAAATACTTGCTATTTTTAAACTCTCCCCAAGGTTTCACGCTGATGGTTCAGCTGCTTGGAATGCCAGTGTCACCACTTAGCACTTTTCATTATTTGTCATCGTTGCAGGGCTGATGCTTTTGGCAGAATATAATCTGCCTAAGGTTTCAGTTTGTTACTCTGCCTTATCATAAATTAAGAGTAAGTGAGACATGTCATCCATTACGGTGTAATTGAACTCACATGCAGTATTTGCCAAATGTATGCTATCACGAAAAATAAATGGGACTGGGTTTGTTTTTGAAAGCTGAGATTTCAGGTGAAATGGCTAAACAGTGCAAGGAATTTTCTAATATTTTCAGTATCCATGTGTTATTGTATTGAATTTTGGATCCAATTCCTGGTTGGCTAAATACTCAGAATTGTAAAAACCTGATGCTAGCTTTTCTCATATCAAGCCTTTTATCGGTCGTCACGCTTTTTTATTAGCAAAGAGCAATGGAAAACAGAGAGGCAGCAGGCACATTCATTTAGTAATGTTCTTTAGTTAATGTAATTTCTGCAGCTGGTGTCTGTCTTGATCAAACATCACTTTTGAGTGATAAGAAACATGTCTCTGTAGCACCTCTTGGTCTGAGTGGACTGTGCGGGGTTTTTTATTATTCAGTAATGAAGTGACAGTGGAGACCCTTTTTAAACTAGAAAAACGATCTGATCGACTCTTCAGCTAAATGATCTCAATCAGGACCTTCAGTTTTTTGAGTTAGTAGCAGAGTTAGTGCAATTAGTCTACAGCTGTTTATTGAAGATGTCAGATACATTTCACTAACCTTTCAAATGTTGCTCACCTTTGAACTAACCTGCTATATATTATATTAAATGGATGTTTTACTTTGGACAGTTATAAGCCTCAAACTCTGACTCGGCTGATTCTATAACCTTCTGACGTAAATCTTAAGTTCTCTTAATAAAGTGTAAAATGTATGGCCCTTATTGATATTCATTTGTTTCTTAGATTAATTCTATCTTTGGACCAGGGAACAACACTCCAGCTTTAATGTTTCCACACACACTGCGTGTACTTGTTCCCTGACCTTAACACACTCCAGCACTTCAGATATCAAACCAGCACACAATGCCATGGGAACTGAAGAGATAACATTAAACTGACTTCAGTGACATGCTCTGTCACATATTTTCCAATACTTAGAAGGTACAGTGAATGTTACCTTTGTGCTCTGTGCAAGTTCTCCGCTGTCACATGAACACACACAGACACACACAGTTTGAGTTGCTATCAAAAGAGCACACCCTGTGTGAGTGTTACACCTGGTTTCTGTTTTCTCCACGGACTGCCATGGCACTGGGGTTTCCCTTTTAGTGGTACTCATGTGGAGAGAGGATACGTGTAGATCCTGAATAGAACGCCACAAAGGATTCCAAATTGGGAACATGGAGTGGCGGAGGTGGACGGGAGATTTATTTTTACTTTTTATTTTGCCATGAGGTATCTTTGGCTTGCATCAACCACATCATCAACATTAAAGCTGTTTTGATTCGGTCTCAGAGAAAGAAAATAACGTCAGCTCTGCAGGATGCCAGTCAGCCACTGAACAGTCAGTTTGAGTAATAGGCTATATTTTGCACCAACTGTTACTTTGGTTTGTTACTTTTTGTAAAATGAAACCAAATGATATCTCTTTCTGAATTTCATCCAAAGAGAACTTTAGTAAATAAATAAAAAATAATCAGCAGGCAAAGGATTATACAGAAAAATGAATTGACTCAATATATTTGGAGAAAATCAACATTTGGCTAAAGAGATTTAGCTAACGGAAATAAGCCTTTATGCATTATTTCCTTCTAGCAGTTGTTGAGTGCAATGTTTTATTTATTTTGATTAATAATTATAGGAGTTTGATGTTATTGCACTGCTTTTTCTTTTGTGTAACATGAGACGAGAGCAGGTGCACAAATCTATGAGTACATTCATAAAACCACTGTTAAATATATGAAATAGTCACCACAAAAAACAACACATTTGCTTAATTTCAATAGGGCCTTGAGTATTGAACCTAAATGTCTTTTCAATAACAGTTTCTCTTAAATTATTCAGCAGATCGATGAATCATATTTCTGGGCAATTGGGTTTTCACTGTGGATGCGATTGTTTCAGTCTCAATTTCCCCCAAACTGAAGTCCCAAACAACTTTAGAATTAGTAAGGATGCAACATGGTCCAGCCAGAAAGATGTTGAAAAGTGCTACCATATTTTATTTAACGTTTTTCGGCGTACGTACAAAGTTCAAATAAAGACTGTACCACTTTGGTCCCTACAGATATGTTTCAAGATTTAGTTATCATTATCTTTGATAAACGAGTCAACGCACCACAGTCAAATTATAGATGTTTCCCATTTTTAACCATGGCAGTTGATGCTGAGTAAAAAGTCTACCAAAGAGCAGCTCTGACAAATATCTCCCGCTATCATCACAATATTCAATTCTATTGTTTAGACTACGCTCTTCCCAACAATGTGTCTGTGTTTATGTATCACAAGATGCTTCCTATCTTCCACTGTTACCACTAAAGATTTTTGCCATTTCAAGAGTTCCTTGTTGGACCAAAGTCTGAACCTACAGCCATTCGTCTTCGGCTCTACCAGGAGACATACTTCGCTGAAATGTTTACCCCGGGTACTTATAACAATTAGCTTCCATGTCGTCCTCTGGAAGAGAGTCCTGCCCATTGTGATTTTTCACTTTTCACCCGCTTGGATCCAGGTGTGGTCCTCGGCGTGTGTTTATGCTGTTCGGGGTGATGCTTGATGCCAGACATCGACACCACATCCAAACAATGGGCTGTTGCTCTGCTCGCCTCTCCTCGGCAGGTTAATCATTAGGATCGTTAGCTCGGGTGAAATATGCTGCAATATGTCTCTCAAACTGCTCGGAGGCCCCAGTCCAAACTCTCGTTCTCACTCTGCCTTGACTCTCACTTTTTCTGTTTCTCTTGGCCCCCTTTGCAGACTATGTGCTATATGGTGATTATATTAAGTGAAGTAGAGAAAGCCATAAAAATGCCTTTTAACTTTTATTAAATGTGACACAGGGAGATTTCTTTTCATGCAATAAATAGAATAGAATTGATTGGAATAGAAAACCTTTATTGTCATTGTACTTAAATATACAACGAAAAATAAAGGACGGATGATTAACTGCTATAATTCAATCCAAAGACAACCCTTCTTTGGTGCTTCCGCATAACTGCAAACGTAACTTGGATCAAAGATAGAAACAACTGTAATGGATTCTGCACATTTTGGACGTCGCGATGATGAATTAAAAGCATGAGGCCTAAAAATGGTCAGGAGGGGGGGAGAAATACATGTAATATCTAATACAGGAAGCATGAGTCGAGCAGCATGCCCCGTAGAACATGGCAGGAATGGCTAAACATCCCCGATTCTCACCCTGCGATCAGAGGGGTGCTGGCCGCGCAGGGAGACGAGCTCCACATCGCCCACTTAACCAGGAGAATGTTCTTGTTTGAAAACAGCATTCCTCCCAGAGTGCTTTTATGGGAGAGTTTCTACACACACACGCATACCATCCCAAACCCTGTATGTCTGTTTCTACCAGATCCACTCCCCTCAAGAACACAACAGCTTTCTTCTCTCCATCATCCCATCAGCACTACTTCTGTGGTGCTGATTGGTCGCTCCTTATCTGTGACTGAATAAACGGAGAGAGGAGTTCTCTCCTCCAAAGGTCTTCAGACCACCTAGATTGCTTTATTTCTAGTGGTATGTCAAAGTCCTTGGCAAGGAGACATTCCCTCACTTGTCTTCTTCTCATTTCATTATTAAAGTCCATAAGGAGTGCTTAAGGAAACACCTGTATTTGGCATTAGTTGTACCAAGTCTCCAATTCATTGCCAAGAAAGCAATTATCCACCAATATATAAATACACAGACTGCTGCGGAGAAAGAAATGACCTGTTTAAGTATTTATTTTTGGCACGCTCATGTAAGAACTGAAGGTGACATGTTATCTGAATTGTCCTCTCACCATGGATGCTCATTTTTTTCCTTTCCTCTGCAGAGAAAGTCATAGACAGCATTCTCACTGCCACAAAATATTATGGACTCGGGGAGCATCTGGACAGGTAATTTTTGCTGCTCACCCAACATCAGCAGAAAAGTCCTGTTTAGTCTATCCATCACTTCTTTATGTTACTAACGTCTGACCCTGCTTCCCTGCAGTCTCAGCTGTAAAAGATGCATCATTGTGGGCAACGGGGGAATCCTGTTCAACAAGTCTCTGGGCTCCCGTATAGATGAATACGATGTCGTAGTGAGGTGAGAATATATATTATATATACTGTATTTATTATGATATATCTTGTTTATTTTCATACTGTCAGTCATGCACAACCCTAAGAATATTTTGCACATAAAGCTACCCAGCTTTCCACATTTCATTACAATACTGCACATTTTATTATATTTTTCTGAGTCATATTATACTGTACGTAATTTTTGTAATATTTCTCTATATTCTAGTGTTATCATTTAAAAAAATAAATATTTTGTATAATTGTTTTACTTTTGGGTCGTTTTTCTTAAGCTTTATCTTTAACTGTGTTTATGTTTGCACCATATAAATCAAAGCTAATTCCTTTACACAGCTTTCCGCTTTTAATTTAATATTCCACATTTTATTTTATTATCCCGAGTATTATGTCATTTTAAAAAAAAAAAATATTTTCGTATAATTGATAAAAATGTTGGTCGTTGTCTTACAATTTATCTAGTTTAACTGTGTTTATGTATGGACCATATACATCAAGGGAAATTCCTTGTACGTATTAACCTACTAAAATGCTTCGAATATGAATGTTTCAGCAATTTGTCGCCATACACATTGTGGAAACACTATACAATAGGGATGCTCCGATCGGCCGCCGATCGATATCGGCCGATACTCACTCTCTGCCGATCGATCGGTGCTCTCTAAAAATGCCGATCGCGAGAGCCGATCGCATGACGTAAAATGATGACGTAAAATGATGATGTAAAATACATGACACTTTTCTCTGTGCGCGGCAAAACAAGCTCGCCAAAATGGCTTCACCGGTCTGGCAATATTTGAAGGTGTCAGAAAAAGACAATAAAATAGCGGTATGCAACGTGTGTGTGAAGCAGAAATCCTGCAGCTCCACCCGCTGTGACGGACCGGTGAGCGGAGCGAAACACACGCTAACGGCCCGTCCACACAGCGGCGCGCGTTGATAGCTTCACCACTTTGAATGGGGTGACGTCACTTTTCGCCGAACTGCATTGTGGGAAGCTGAGCTTTGCTGGCGTGGCTCGTTGCAAAAGTTGAGCAATGTTCAACTTTTGAAGCCTCGGCAGAAGCGTAACGGCCCGTCCACACAGCGGCGTGCGTTGAAGCTTGCCGGCGGGGTGTCTGAAACTCGACCAACAACCAATCACATGAATCTCCCGCCCCTGACACACAAGCAAAAGTTGAACATTGCTCAACTTTTGCAGCGAGCCACGCCAGCAAAGCTCCGCATCGCTTCCCACAATGTAGTTCGGCGAATGGTGAAGCGTCAACGCACGCCTTAAGAATTAGACCTAACACACTTAGCTATTTTATCTACCTCTGGAACTAGCTAAACTAGTTATAAATATATTTATTACTCACTGTCGGGTCGCTCATTACTGGATCAGCGAGCTGCATGAGACGATACTGACAGGCTGTCAGGAGAGAGCGAGAGGGGGAGAGAGGAAAAGAGAGCGCTTCCGCTAATTTCTCCCGTGTTATTCTCCAAAGTTAATGTAAACTTGAATAATGTACTTCATTTGAATGTAATAATTATGTTGGTTGTTGTTTGTGGAAGCGCCAGTGAATGAGCCCCATTAACTGAGTTTTAAACATCACTTTAAATGGAAGATCCCCATAGGCCCCGCCCACTCGATTTGGGGCCGATACTGATTCCGGCGATCGGAGCATCCCTACTATACAACAAGGCAACACTTTACCAATATGTGAATGAACAACAGTTGATAAATAAAAAGAGAAAACATCCCAGGTGCTTAACTTCTGTGCAATGGGCTTTTTTAACTCAAATCCCAGTCACTAAGACATTGTTTTGTTGTGCTGGCAGGTTGAATGAAGCCCCGGTAAAAGGTTACCGCAAAGACGTGGGGACCAAAACCACCATTAGGATTACCTATCCAGAGGGAGCGATCCAGAAGAGCGACAACTATGAAAAAGACTCCCTTTTTGTTTTTTCCGCTTTCAAACCACTGGATTTCAAGTGGCTCAGACAGATGGTCTTCAAGGAGAAACTGGTAAGGATTTTTCTTTTTAAATCATTAAAGGATAAAGAGAAAATCGTGAACACATTAAACATGCATGAACACAACCCTGAAATATAATCGGAATGATGACTCACAGCACTGCGTCTCATCAGCTGTCTTCCTCATTCAGCATTCTTCCACATTATGTCTGTGCTCACGGAATTACACTTTAGAGAATTTCTATTTCTGAATTTTTGAGTTATGTGTTTTGTTTTAGCAGATCATATCGTTCCAACCCCAGATCACATTCTGTACATTCCTTCCTGTGGAAATGTAAGCCGTTTCGTAAATAATTTGAGAAGACGACTTGAATCTAAACTAGATGATGCAGTGTTTTAGATGGTTTGCTTTTCTGTGGAAAGGATAGTTGTATACAAGTTATGTTGTCTTCTTTCTCCGGCACCCGAGTAGATTTTCTTCATTATCCTTTGTCGTTTTCTCATCAATAATAATAATACTGATTATTTCTTAACCTGTTCTCTCACATTTTTTGATTAATTTACCTAAAAAATACAAGACCATGACTCAAAAATACTAAATATTCTCAGTGAACTGGCCTCTTAATCTCGAGGGTCAGACTGAATGACAGAGCTGGCTTATCTTTTTTAAGTACAAAAGGCTTGTCTGTCCTTTTTATATCCATTGTCACAAAAAAAGCTCCTATCAGCACTTCCATTTGTTCTTGTTGAACAGTCTCTAGTATCACTAGTGAGGTTTTTTTGGGTCTATTCAACTCCAGGATGGCAGGAGTACTCAGTTAAAGCTCTTTATGAAATAAAAAAAGCATTTTAATAAAATGTTTTATAGATGGAAGGACCATACTAGTGTCTTGCTTTAGTCCATTTACTAGAACTGACTGTTTTCAAAAGAGTGTTTAATATCTTTAACGTTTTATTTCAAACCATACCTCTTCCAATTTATCTTAATGACATATTGGTTTCCCAGTCAATTTAAAATATTAAATGTAGTATAAAATAACCTTACATCACAGGTGCTGTGTAGCAAATGGGCTGAACCATTTAAAAACATATTCCTAAAGGTCCATACAGGCAGAATAGCTCAACTAATTGACCCCTTTCTTCGTGAGGGATGCCTCCGTCTAATATGGCAAACGAGAATTCAAGAAAAATGCTTTATTTTCCAGCACAACTGTGTGACTTTAGGGAAGCAGCTGCCAGCTGGGGATTTCACAAGGTGACATTTGTCATAATCGTATGAGTGAGGGAACGGGGAGAAAGGAAATATAGTGGAAAGCACAATACTGTTATAATAGGCGATGGAAAGGGAAGCTCAACCAAGAAATGGTGTGAAGCTGGATTAAAGGTTGAAAGAATGGAAGGAAGCTAGATGGAAAGGATAATGTGAAAAGGGATAATAGCTGAGGAAAAGAAAATGAGCAGTGGAAGGTAATAGTAAAGTAAAACGGAGGAAAATAGCTTGGCTGGCTGATGGCCCCTTCGGCCTTTGATAGGGCCCAGATTTGTCTGGTGTGTCAGAAAGAGAGGACAGTGGAAATGGCTGCCCGGGATAATTGATCCGGCCCCCGGCGCCTGACTCAGCCCTCTTTGATCTGCGGAGGAAGGAAGAATGTTTCTCATGGGTTAAAAATCAGGGAACAAAAAAAAAAGTCAGTGTTGTTTGGTCAGAGCCTTGATGATAACATGGAAGAAGAGAACTGACAGATGTGCAAGGACCCAAGCGGACCTATTGATAGTTTTCCACAATAGGTAGACATTATGAACATTTTGTGTCGTACATACACATAGAAACGTCACACACACATCACACAACAGTTTTTACCCCACATACTAAGACTCTAATGGCAATGTTGGTCAGTTGCTTAAATGTTCTGTATTGCCTTTTATACCCTGTTACTTTTGCCATTAGATATTCTGTTAAAGTATAGGTGCGATTTGTTGTATCAGATGGTTTGTGGACAACTGTATGTCCAAGTATTTATTTTATAACGGTAATAAATGCATTTTGTTGTAGGGCTGCAGCTAATGTTCTTTTACATATCGATTCATCTGCAGCTTGTTTAATAATTAATTGTTTAGTCTATACATTGTAAACATGTGTGAAACATTTCCATTTCAGTTTCTGAAAGTCAAAGTTCAATACAATGTTTCCTCAGTAAAAAAATATAAATATATTCAGTTTATTATAATGAAAAAACGGTCAAAAGTGGGACCTTTTCAAATTTTAGGAGGGGGTACAGCCGTTTCTAACATTTTTGTATGAAATACGAATTGAGCAATTTCATTAATTGATTAGTTATAAACTCATTGCCAGTGTTAATGAGTTATTTCATATAATGGATCATTTAGACAAACTCATTTAAATGAACACATTACTGTTTCATTCGTTCTGATTCAAATTGATCACTTCAGGAGAACGCACAAAGAAACAAGCACTGTGTTAATGTGTACTTTAAAGCAGCATGAAGGCTGACAAAAATGTTGAAATTATAATCTCTCTTAAAAACCACATGTTACCGGGGCAACGGTATGTGTTGACTATGGAAAGTGGATTTTCAGTCTCACCACAACATGAAGGGAACTAAAGTCCTTAAAGACTGTTATCCTGGCTTCATTGTGTCAGACTTACACCTAGCCCAGACTAATGCAGTGGAAACACACACATGAAGAGGTGTTTATGTGTGTATGTACATTTCTTATTTTATTTTTAACTCGAGGGACACTTCTCCAAAAAACAGTGACTCATACATGTTTTATTTTATTACCAGACAATAGTTATCCTAATCAATAAAAGCAAATTAGTTTAAAAAAGAGATATTTCATTCATTAGGATATGCAGCATGACATTGTCACTTTACATGACATTGCATTTAGCTGACGCTTTTATCCAAAGCGACTTACAATAAGTGCGTTCGACCAACAAAATACAAACTTGAAGAAAACAGAATCATATAAGTACATCAGGTTTCATAGAGCCAAACATTTCAAGTGCTACTCAACTGGCTTTAGATAAGCCAGTCCTTTATTAGTATATAAGTGCTTTGTTAGTACCGTAATTTTCGGACTATAAAGCGCACCTGCATATAAGCCGCAGCAGCTAAATTGAATGATGTGTACATATATAAGCCGCACTGGACGATAAGCCGCAGGTGTTTTAATGTTTAATTACCATATGTAAGGGTTCGTGCACAGAGGGGATTGTCGGGAAAGAGATGGCTGTTTGAGGAAGCTCCCATTTATTAACATTTCAACAAACAAGTTGCATATTTGCATAACGTATTCAAGTGTTACCATTTAGTGCAATAGTAGCTACAGAACATGTACTGTGCTGTGTAAACTGTACTGTATCACATAGCGTTTCAGACACACACATTTTTCAACTTTCAAACTTAAACGGTGCGCTCCCAGCGCACGGACCGGCAGGGTTTGTGCATGAAAACTTCCTTTGCACAAACTGTCTCGCTCTCGTAATGTCTGTCTGTCTTGCTCTCGTTCTGTCTCTCGTACCACTCTCGGTTCCACTTTTACTTTGGCGCGCTACCTGTCTCGCTCTTTTCCGGCCTCCAGCTTTTCCTGCTGGAGCCCGCCGCTTAAAGGTGGCGGGCGCGGACCGGTCATAGAGCCCATAGTGTTAAAGGTGGTGGACTGTAACCTGTAAAATCCATAGATTTAGGAGGTTCCCTAGTGGCCGTTAGCTGTAAAAATCCATAGATTAACCGCACCGTTATATAAGCCGCAGGGTCGAAAAAAGGCGCGGCTTATAGTCCGAAAATTACGGTAATTCTATCGCTCGAAGTGGAGTCGAAAGAGATGAGATGTCACCATGTAACAACAAGCATCTCTTCCTTGAGCCTCACATCCATTCAGTCCATCCCAGACAGAGACATCATGTGACTCAGGACATTTGTCCTTCGGGAGCTTTTACTTCTCTCAGTCCAGCCGAGGGATTTCTTTGTGTACGACGCACACTTGCAGCTGTGAGGGATGCTTTTCACTCTCCTTCTGCGGTTATGAAAGCAAGTGTATGTCCTTCTCTTTTTAAAAGGTTGGTGGGTGGTACACGGTTGTTTTGAAGCCGCAAGTGACTCACCCCATCCAGTTGTGAGAGTGCTCGACTTTCCTGCGCTATTGTGCCTTTTTTCAAATGCCTACAGCGCGTTCTTGGATGGCTGAACTGAATACAAATTAGCGAGGCAGTTTCCCAATCTGTTATTTACTGTTTTTGTACACTCAAAAAGACACACTCAAGAACTCCCATTCACTCACACGCACAAGTCTGAGATTTGCAAACTTGACCTTGATCAGATCTCTGGCTTGCAGAAGCAGCTCTGTCTCTGTCTCTGAACGTGTCTCACATTTTAGATGAGTGAAGCTCTTTGCTACATATACAATTACATAGCTGCAGCATCAGAAGGCATCCGACTTCCCTTATCCCTCATTACTGCAGGTAAACCTGATTACCACTCAGCTTTGTCACCCCGCTTTAAAGTCGGACCCCACAGACGCAGCCGCCTGGTTGATTGCGCAACTACGCGCTGTTTACAAACGCACTCAAACACGATTTCCACAATTGTCGATATTGTCTTTATTCCTATAAGTCTAGTTTTCAATTTTGCACTCATGCACAGCAGACCCTCGTGGTTCATGCACACACAGCCACAGTTGTTTGTATATGCGGGGATATTTTCAAACAGAGCCAGCGAAGGATATACAGCCGGTGGTAAACACGGGGTTCCAAGGTGGAGTGCCGGTGTTTTCGCTCTGCTGTTTGTTTACAGGAGCTCTCGCTGCTAAATGATGGATGGAGACAATTTAAGGAAGAGACTACTTCAACTTTAATAGAAAAACAGCCACGGGTTATTAGTCAGAGGTTTGAAAATATTGTAGTTAAGCCAATATTTGATAAACACTGCATGTCTCTTCGGAAGAAATTGAGCAAGGAATTACCAAAATAGCCAGTTGCTCCACATCACTGATAATTCCCAATTTACTCCTTTCCCACAAGAATATTAT